CAATCCAAAACATATAAACCGTATTTACTTTAGATCTAGTGTCAAATTTTAGAGATTACTGCACTTTCCTAAACCACAACCTAATCCTGCTGCACCAATTGGGCCAATTTAATTATAACTTTTTAAATATTAAAGAAAAAATCAATAATTAATTAATTAGAAGGAGAAAATGAAAAAAAATAAAATAAAAAGAAATGAATTAATAAATAACAAAAGAAAAATTTGAAAATTAAAAATGAATTAAATTAACAAATGAAAAAAAAAACAAAAAAAAATATGCCTAATAATAACAATAATAATAATAAATTAAATAAAAAGCTAATAAATAAATTAATTAAAAGAATAATTGTATTCTATTATATTAATTTATATTAAAAATTATCACAATTTAAAACAAATAAATAGATTTTACTAAAGACAAAGTGTCAAATTTTAGAGATTAGTACACTTTTCTAAACCAAAACCTAAGCTTGATACACCTTAGTCACCAATATAATTACCACTTTTTAAATATTGAATAAAAATATGTATTTCATTTTATAGAAAGAAATAATGAAAGAAAATATGAGATAAAAAGAACTAAATTCATGAATTAGTAATAAAAAGAAAAGTTGAAAATAAAGAAATGATTAAATTAACAAAGAAAAAAAGAAAAATAAATCTAACAAAAAGTTAGTAAAAAAATTAAAAGAGTTAGATATATTGTTTTAAATTCGTTTTTAAATATAAAAATATCACAATCCAAAACAAATAAACTGTTTTTACCCAAATTCAAGTTACAAATATGTTAGATTAGTGCACTTTCCTAAACCTGAGCCTAAGTCAGATGCACCAATTGCACCAATTTAATTTCCCCTTTTTAAATATTGAAGAAAACATAATAAGTAAATTCTTTAGTTAGAAAGAAAAATGAAGAAAAAGTATCATATTATAAAAAATTAATAATTTTTTATCAAAATAAAAATTTGGTGAAAATTAAGTTAAAATAATCAAAAAAATATTTGTAAAAATAAAATTAATATATTTAGATTATAATTTCTATTAGAAAAATAATTTGCAAATAACTTGAAAATTAAAGATAAAAAAATATTAATAATAACAAAATTAATATTAATAAATTAAATATACTTCTTCTAAATATCAATATGGAGGATCTAATGAGATTAAATTGAAGAGTTTAAAAACTTTTTTTATTATTAAAAATAAATTTAAACAGAATTAATAAAAAATAAATAATTACTTTTTCTAGATCGTCGAAAAATATTTTCTGTTATATCATTTATTTTTTTTTAAGTATTGAACAGCAATTTTTGAAATTGTATATTAAAAAATTAATTTACTTTTATTTCAAATGAATTTTAGATAAAAATAACAAAAAAAATTTTATAATTATTAAATATAAATTAAGAAATAAATTTGTTTTAAGGAAGACATATAACAAAAAACTTAATCTAACTAACACTCATAATTAAATCTTAATATTTTTATTAAAAACTTATTCTTAAAAATATAGTAAGAATGAAAGATGGGTAGTCATATGCTGAAGAAATTCTAGTAGTTAAAGTACATACATTTTTTAAAATCAATTTTCAAAAAAAATTTTGATGATTTTGAAAAAAATACATCCCCCAATATTTTTAGAACCTTTAAATAAATGATCATTTTTTTTTAATTAAGACTCTTGTCTAAAAAATAAATAATATAGATCTGCTAATAAGATTAAATGAAAGAAGAATCTATTATTAACTTTACTATGTTATACAATATATAAATGACGAAATAAACTATTTAATATTTTTTAGCAATAGAAATATGAAGATTAAAGTTATACATTTTTTAATATAAATAATAAAATTTGTTTTTCATTTTGTCAGAACTGATTTTATTTTACTAATAAAATAAAATTGTAATAAATATTTAATTAATCTAATAAATAATTTAAAAAAACTAAATGCAAAAGAATTAAAATAAGTTTCTTTTAAGGGTTTATACAGATGAAAAAAACAAAAAAAAATAATTACTCTAAAATTTAATTCAAAGGAAATATTCTTTGAAATAATTCAAAGAGTAGAATGCATCTTTTACTACTCCAATACTTCACTGATATGCTTTTTTTTTTTAATAATAACAATAAATTATTTTATTAATATAATATAAATAAAAAGGAATAATTACCCTATATCAAGATCTAACTTGGATATAAATTTATTGCTATCTAAAACATTTAATAAGTTATTTACTCCTTCTATATTAAATTTATTAAAAATAAAATTAATTATTTAATTAATTAGAAAAAATGAATTTATTCTTATAAAAATAAAGATTAAAAATTACCAAAACTCTAACTTCAATTAAGTAATTCTTTAGCAATTTTCTAAAGAATATTGTATTTTCTATGCTCGATATTTTGTAATTCGATTATTGTCACTAATAAAATTTGATAATTAAATAATTTTATAATTAAAATAGAAAACAAAAAAGATTTACAATATTTTTGTTAAAATAAATTGATGTAAATATAAATATTTAAAAAATTTAATTGTTACTTTAAATTTAGACTTAATTTAGAAATATTTTAACAATTTTCTACAACACTTCCTAAAAACTAAATCCCATCATCATTTATCTCATTATTTCTAAAAAATTAAATATTTGAAGGAGATTTAGGAAATAAAAATAAATTTAAAAACTTAAATTATGTTCCTTTAAAAAATATTAGATAATCTCTATTAAATTAAAGCAAAAAATGAAATTAAGAAATTTACCTAAAAGCTAGATCGAGTTATTGAAGTTTATCATATTTTTCAATAAATTTTGCAATATATTTTAATCCAAAAGGCCCAACATTACCACTACTAAAATCAAAAAATAAAAATATTAGATTGAAAATTTATAAATAGAAAATAGATAAAAATAAAAATTATAATAATAGAAAAAAAAATCTTAAAAATAACCAAAATTTAATTAGCAATTACCAATATTCTAGATTTAAATAAGTAAGTTTTTTATTTTATTCAACATTTAGTTCTTCATTTACAAAATCTTCATCACGAATTTTATTTAAACTAAAATAAAGATAATAAAAAAAAGTAAGTTTTCAAAAAACTAATTTAATTGGAAATTATTATCCAATAATTAAAATATATTTCTCAAAATATTACAAAAAGAAAAGTCTAAAATTAAAAAAATTACGATAAATTTAGAATTAAGTGAGTCATTTTTTGACACTTTAATAGACCTTAAAATAGAGTAACGATTGCGTCCTTAGAGTTTTCTTTTTTAAGACCACAACAACTTAAAAAAATTAAAATAAATTAAATAAGTAATATGAAAATAAAAATAAAAAATTTGTTAATAATTTCGGTAAATTAAATTTAAGAAATAAAAGTAACTTATGTAAATAATAAATATTTTTATAGAAAAAGCTAAAATAATTACCTTATATTTAAATTTAGTTGAGTAATATTTTAACAGTTTATTAAACCATTTGCTAAATACCATATTCCTTCATACCCAATTTCAATTTTACTAATTTAATATTAATTAATAAAATCTGATGATAATGCCTAACAAAAAAGATATTTAAAAAATAAATACATTTAATTAAGATAAATTAATTAAAATGATTTATTTTTTTTAGAGAAGTAAAAAAAATAAAGAAAATTAATTACTGAAAATTGAGAGTCAGCTTAACAATATTTTTATATTTTTATAGACCTTATCCTATACTTATTCCTGCTTATTTAGCTCTTCTATTAAAACTAAAAAAAATAAATAAATAAAATATATTTAATATTAAATAAAAGATAAAGAAATTGAAAAATAGCTTCAACAAGTTTCTTAGGTAGTTATTTTTTATTATTAAATAATAAATAAAGAAAATTACGATAAATCTAGATTCAATTCAGCAATATTTTCACTTCTTTTTAAAGCTTCATTTAAATATATTACTCCTCTTTCTCCTACTTAATTTGAGCTAATAGATATAATTTATTTATTTAAATAGAAAATTTAATATAAAATTAAAAATAAATTTAGCTAGCCAATCAATTAAATAAAATAAAAAGTTGTAAATAAATTATTTTTAATTATACAAAACATAAGATTTACAATAAAAGTAAATTTATTTGACTTAGTTAAAATAATAAATTTTAAATAAATTATTTCTAATTATGAAAAAAGCTTAAAATTTACAATAAATGTAGATCTAATTTAGTTATACTTTTGTTCATTTCTATAAAACTTGCTAGTTATTATATACCTTCAGAGCAAATTTAATTGTTACTAAAAAATAAATAAATAAATAATTAATTAAATTTTTAAAAAGAATATTTTTGCATAAATTATTTAAATCAGCCAAAATACATTTGTAAGAACTATTTAATAGCAAAAAAAGCATTTAAAATTTAGAAAATTACTTCAAATTCAAATTTAATTGAGTTAAATATTGACACTTCTTTAATGATTATGTTAAGGTGAGTACTTTATTAACATCAATTTTATTGAAGCTAAAATTTTTAATAAATAAATGTTTTTAAAGGAAATGAACTAAAAGTATTTCTTAATTTAAATTTACAAATTATTAAATTAATTTATTTATTTAACATAATTTGACACTATGTATGTATATAAATAAAAATCATTATTTTTAAAAAATTTAAAATACAAAAAAATAATAAATAAGTTGATTTCCAAAGAGAATAAAAAGAAATAGAAAAATTACAATAAATTTAGATTAAGATGACTTACGTTTTTAAATTTTTCTAAAAAAATGTTAGTTTTCTTTTAATATTCTTCATCTTCGCTTTATAAATAAATAAATAAAAAAGATTAAACTTATAAAGCTAGAAATTAAATGCAAAAATTGAATTAATAAGAAGATTTTCTTATGTTCAATGAAATAAAAAGAAATATTAACTTAAAAATATTACCTTAATTGAAGATACAAATAAGCAAAATTTGAGCTATTTTTCATTTTGTGTTCAAAATTATCTGCTCTTTTTTTTGTCAATATTTCGAGGCTAAATAAATGAAATAATTAAATTAAGAAAAACTAATAAATAACTTTTGTATTTTGAAATTTAAATTAAAATAATTTACATACTTACTTACATGTAGTAAAGATTTATTTAAAATCAAATAAAATAACTTTGTTTTTAATATGATATTTCAAAATAAAAAATAAAATATAAATTTGTAATTAATATAAAAGTTAAAGAATTAAAAGTAAAAATTAAGCTTTTTTTTTAAAGTGTAAATATAAAAAAATTATTTAAATTTAAAATATTTAATAGAAAAATAAATTAAGAAAATTGAAGAAATATTGTTTTAAATAAAATTCGTTAATTAAGATAAATACCTCAAATTTTGATTAAATTAATCACCATTTTTAAGCTGATTTAGATACTAGTAAGTGTTTTTAAAACCTTCTTTATTTTCTATGTATAATTCTGCCTCGCTATAATTTTTATAATAATTTTAAATTGGTTTAAAATTAATATTTAACAATTACTTAAAATATATTTTTATTTATGTGAATTTTTAAATGAATTTCTCAAAGTCATCTACAATATCTTCTTTAATTATGTTTTTTCTAAGATAATTAAATTATTTTGTTTATTTATATGAATCTGTTCAACAAATTATCATTTAATAATTAAAAGATTTAAAGTTACTCCCAATAAATAATTAATTCAGTAGGCTATTCACTATTTAATTATATTTCTTTGATTATATTAGCAAATCCATCTATTTCAATGTTTTTATTAAAGCTTTAAAAAATATTAAACATTTATTTTAAAAATACTTTTATAAATTTAAAAAATGTTACTTCAAGTAAAAAAAGAAAACATCAATAATACTCAATAATTCTATTTATCTTTTAACATTTGGTTAAATTACTATCTCTGTTTACTTTTATAATTTTAATTAAATTAATTTTTATTTGCTAAAATTTAAATATGTTTTATTATTGATTATTTGAAGAATATTTTTTAAAATTTATTTGTAAGAAAAGTTATTCATTTCAACTAAATTTAGAATTATAATTTCGAATATTTATTTACTTATAAATTGAGATAGCGATTAATTTCAAATCCTATTTCCTTAATAAAAGTACGATCTAATTTATCTTAAATATTCAATAACTATTCACTGAATAGATAATGAATTAACTAACAATCAGATCTTTAATGAATTGCTTCTTTGACCATTTAATTATTAACAATATTTTTGATAAATTTTTATACAAATTCTTTGATTTAACTTTAGGGATTAAGATATTCAAATTTTTCTATAACTTATTAGAGAGTTCTTCCTAATGAATAAACATCAGATTTATAACTTATATTATTTGTATCATTTTTCTATTCATATGATGAATATTTATCTGAAATACCTCTTACTACCATATTTTTGCCATTCTCATAAATTTAAGAAATTCCAAAATCGATATAAATATAGTTTCCTCTATCATCAATTAAAATGTTATCAGGTTTTATATCTAGATGCAAAATTTCTTTAATTTTCAAATCTATTAATCCTTGGATTAGATCAAAAATTATCTTTATAAATTTTTCATCTGTAAATTTATTTTCATTTTAGTTAAATTGTAATAACTCTTACCACAAACTTTATTAATATTTTTTATGGATAAATATATGTAAATTGTCATCTATTTTTATGTGTTCAACCAATTATATAAATTTTTTAAAATTTATTAATTTGGCAAATATTTTCTTTTGATTTTCAATTAACTCATTTGTTGATGAAAAAATTATTTTTATTATTTATTCTTGATTATTTTAATCTTCATAAATTAAGGATTCACCTCCTTTTCCAATTTAAGAACCTAAAGCATAATTATTTAGTTTTTTAATAATATCTTATTTAAATTATTTAAATTTGTTTTCTAATTCTATACATTCATCTTATGAAACTTATTAAAAGTTTTTATTCTAAACTTAAGAATATGAAAGATTAGATTTAAGTTCATGAAGTTATAGTTCATAGCTGAAACGAGGAGAAGAACATTAATTTGATATTTATTCAGTTAATTCAGCAGGTATTTATTTTTAATCACATGATGAACTTTAAAATATTTGTTCTTTATCACGACAATCAGAGCTAAATTTTTATAACTAAATGGTTATTTCCCTTCTTTCAGATGACTCTTAAATTTTATTTGATGAAAATTTGGAAGATATTATTGTTAATAGATCTTAATTTGGATGTAAGTAACGTCCCTCTCCCTCTATTAAAATTGCTTAATTATTATTTCTCATACTAGAGTTGTGCTTTCTTCTTTTAATTTAAAATAGAATTATTTAAAAAAAATTATATTTAAAAGTAAATTTAGATCATTTTTATTTATTCTAAAAATTAAATTTTTAATCATATGAGTGTAAATAAATTTTAATACGTTTGTTCTTTATCGCGGGAATCAGAGCTATATTTTAATACCTAAATAAATACTTCCCTTAAAGACCTATCAGATAACTCTTAATTTTTATTTGAAGAATTTTGGGAAGACATTTATGTTTTTGAATCTTAATTTGGATTTGGATGATAGTACTATCCATTTATTAAAGTTGGTTAATAAATATTATTCATACAAAAGGTGGACTTTCTTTTAATTTAAAATAAAATTATTTAAAAATAATTATATTTAAAAATAAATTTAGATCATTTTTATTTATTCTAAAAAATTTAATTTACTTTGTCTTTTAAAATTTCTTTTTTTTATCAGAATATATTTTTTATCTATTCTTTTTAACTTATTGATTAATTTCTTTAATCTTAACTAATACCTAAATTTTATGACTTTAATCAATTTACTTTTTCTTTTATTTTTTTAGTTCCCTCAATATTAATTAATTAGACCAATCATTGATTATTTTAACCTTTTACTTTGAGATCATTAATTTTAATTCATTCTTCAATATTCATTCATTTAATATAATCCTCATAAATTTTTTTATTTATTTTTTTGTTTTCCTACATTTTTAATTTCAAATTTATCTTTCATACTAAAATATTTTAAACTCAGCTATAAACTTTTTAGTTAATAAAATTTATTACAAATTTGAGATACTTTAAATTTATAACATTATTTTTAATATCTTATTATTTAAATAAATAAATAAATTAATATGAGAAAATTTATTATTTTATTTTATAAGAAATAATATAGCACTTCCATGAATTAAATTCTTAAGAAAGCTAAGATGCAATAATTTAATTAATGGAAAAGCTATAAATATGTTTATAATAGTTTTTTGTTTTATATATATATATAGACGCGCAAAAAAAGGTATTGGGGTATTAGGAGGAGGCCTCATAATTTTTTTAAAAGATTATGATCTGCAAACACTCTTCTTATAATAAAAATTTTAGAATAGATAGTAAATCATGATTATTAAACATATTTAATTATTTAATTTTCCTATTGAAAAAATTATTCAAAATTTATTTTAAAAAAGCAGTAATAAAAGAAAGATATTAAAATATAAGTATTTATTGAAATTTGGATTTTAAAAGGTATTTTTATTTCTATATGATTTAAATATAAAATAGAAGGAGATCTAATAAGACAAATAATAAAAAAGATAATTCAAATGAATAATCTATAACTTAAATGTGAAATAGAAGGAGATTAAATAACACAGATAATAAAAAAGATTCATCAAAATGATTAATTTTTGGCAAATTAATTAAAATATAAATACCTAATCATCTAGATAGATCTTTTTATGCGGATCTATTAATTAATAATATAAATAAAATTAATTAATAACACAATAAACCTAATTAATTTTAATTTGTGAATTAAAAATTAGGTAAATTGAATATTTATCTAAGTAGATATTTAGTCAGACACATCAATAGACCGATCGATAAAATCCAATAATAATAATAATAATAATTTATCTTCAAATATGACTAATTTCTTTAGTTAGACATATGTTAAGCACTTTATTTGGACCTAGATATAAGCTTCAATTGCTTTTATACTTATAACTTACTTTGTTATATCTGGAACTGATATTGCTTGGCAAATATGCAATTGGATACCTGTACTATTTTTTTACATGCTCCTCTAGTTTATTTTAATTTGGTACCCTAAAAGAGACCTAACTTTTGTATTTAATGCCTGCAACTATCTTATTTTAATATCTTGCTTACCAACTTTTGTGTATTATTATTTTATTATACTACTCCCTTCTTCTGAGTTTAAAAGCTTAGAGTTTAAATAGGTAGAAAACTGCGTAGTTTCTGGAATTACAAAGACAAGTTTAGATGGTAATGAAGCTTATTCCCTTACTTACATAAATTTTGAATAAAATGGAGTTTCATACCTAGGATCGGGATGTCTTACAAATTAATACTAAGCATACTCACTAAATCCTATTCCTCCATACAAAACCTTAAAAATGAACGAGACATTTGAGTAATTAATTTAATGCATTTTTTAAAGAAAATTCTATTTATTTTTTTGGATAGATGTGGCCCTGGAGTTGTAGATTATCCTAAAGGAAACCCATTTAACAATACTAATGTCACTGATATCTATCATAGATTCAGACTATTAAGAGGAGGTGGAAGTGGTGGCCATGGGGGTGGTAGTGGTGGCCATGGGGGTGGTGGTGGTGTCCATGGGGGCGGAAGTCATTTTGGTGGCGGATATAGAGGTTGTAGTAGTCATTATTCTTCAATAGAAGAATACTTTAAAAATAGACCTTCTAACAGAGTACACTCTTATGATCCTGTTTATGGTAATAGATATCATCCCTATCCTTATTATGGAAAAGGTATTTATTATTTATTTATTTATTTATTTATTTATTTATTTATAATAATTAATTTAAAATATTTCATATTGCTTAATATCAACAATTTATCTTAAATTTAATTAAGCTCAAATTCTAATTGATTTTGAATGCATTTGAAAATAAATAATATTAAATGAGTTTCTTTTGAGTTTATAAAATTTTTATTGATTTATTGATTTATTTTTTTAGATATAGATTCAAACTGCAAATAATAGTTTACTTTTAGCTAAGTAAAATTACCTACCTGGCTGTGTTCAGATGAAAATAGTAATTTCAAAGATTTGGTAACTCCAAGAACTTGCTGGGTACATTATTATAATCAAAAAAAGGGACAGGCTCAATAAAATGCTTAAAGCAGATTAAATTAGAGATAATTATAGGAGTTAGCATTTATAACTTTTGAATACCCGCTTTACTATCCAAAAAAAAGTTTTAATTTTATAATAGTTTTTATTTACTTTCCATTAATTTTAACAATAAACAGTATATTTTAATACACTTCAAATGTTATTGTTTTAAAGCTTCATAATCAAGATAATTAAGCGGAAACAGATAATATAAATCAATAGAGAGAAGTCAATAATAAAAATAGTATTGAAATGTTATTAATTAATTAATAATGAATAAATGAAATATACTTATTTATATATTTGTTTTCATATTAATTTATTTCAATTAATTTTCTACTTTAATAAAAAATTTTTAATGCTGAATTTATTTTAAATAAACAAATTTCTATTTAATTTTCTTAAATTTAGGTTGATAAAAATGTTAATTTTTCTTTTAATTGATTGATAAATTATGTTTAATAAAGAGGGTCTGTCTAAAAACAGATGAGTATTTTCGTCAAAATCATAAAAATTTTTCTTAGGAAAAATTTATAAATTAATTCTTAATTACTGCAGAATTGCCCCCAAATTCTTCCTGTATTTTGGCTACCCCACTTACTCCAAAAAATTTAGCTAATTTAAAAAAATGTTGATGTAAAAAAATTATTTATTTTTGAAATTAAAATCAATTAAATTATTAATTAATTATAATTCTATTATGAAATATCAAAATTAAATACATTTTTTAATAAAAAACTAAAAAATCTATTTCATAATAAGTGGTATACAGGCCACGAAATTTTTGTATGCCATTTTTCTATATGTATATATTTATATATTTTTATATTATTTTGATATAGATTGAAGTCCATATCTTGTAATAAAAAGAAAATATATTTAGAGGAAAGAAGGTTTCAAAACTAACTAAATTTAAGTAAAATAGCTTATTGTACATATAATTATATTAAAGCTCTTCTAATTAAATAATTCAAGTGAAAGATAGCTTTTTTTATAATTTATTTACCATATTCAAAAAAAGACATAAATTTGTTTTGTGAGTTTTATGGATATTTATTTAAGTAAAAGATACAGCTTATTAATAGCTACTTCTAACTTTAGAGTAGGTTTAAGGTAGAAAATAATTTACTTTTTTAGCTTTTGTTACATATTTTTCAAGTTATTGGCTATTCATATCAAGAGATAATTTTATTATCCACTAATCTTTTATTCAAAAATGCATTTTTTAATGAAATTTCAAAGGAATAACAAAAGTTGGCTTTTTGCTCTATTCATTATTTAACTACTTTTGGGTGGGTTTTTTAAAAAAAATGGTGAGGTATTTTATCTAATATAAGTAACTTATTGTATCTATTTAAGCAATTACATTTTTTCCTTTGTTGATTGGCTCTTAATATTTAAAAATAAGATAATGCTTGAGCATTTTTAAATTTTATTTAAGAAAGAAAAGAGTTTTTTAATTAGCTCTAGTTTAAAAACTAGGCGCGAGAATACCAATATCTATTTATAGTCTTACAATTTATTGTTTTTTACATTAAAATTTGTGAAAAGTTTTGCATCCATTAATTTAATTATCTATATTATAAATTATATTTTATTTTTGCAACTTTAAAATAATGGTGCCATTTATTCATATTTTATGAAGACATTAATAAATTTTAATGAATGATAAATATTATTTAGTTTAAAATAGAAACTGATTTTATAGTCAAATATTTTAATAATGACTAACAATTCAAGTTCTAAGCTTCTTTACTTTTATGTATTACTAAAGCTATTTCTCTTTCTTTCTTTCTTTCTTTCTTACTTTATTTATTTTACACGCATTAGTCTGCTAATATAATTAATTATGTCATTTTGCATAACTTTGTGATTAAGATGATGAAAAGTTGGATATTTAAATCTTATTTATAAAATGATGAAATTTTTAATGCGTATTATTTTAATTTTTATCTAAGAATAATATGATTTGAGTCAAATATTCTTTTTAAATAAATAAATTAATTAATTAATTTACATCAGATTTTTACAAAAAATAAGCATTTAAAAACTTAAGAAATATTGTTTATTGGAATATATTAAATTAATTCAAATTAAATTGTTAGAAAAAAATAGTGAGATATTAAAAAATGAATACAATCAGCTAAAATCTTGTAGGATACGAAGAAGCTAAATATAAGCTTGCATAGCATCTTCAAAACAGGAAAAAAATCAAAGAAATGTACAAAATGAAGGGTCTAGAAATGCTCGATAAGCCTGAGTTAGTCTGTAAAAAATATTTAAATTAATATTAATTTTTTATGAATAGATTGATAATTAAATATAAATATTGAAATATTAATTTAAACTTGCATTCACATTTTATTAAAATTTAAACATTTAATCTTTAAAAATAAAACCAAATCATGTATTTAATAATTTACTCCACCTGTGTTGGTTCTAATCAAATTTTATCTTAATTTTAACAAAAGTTTCTGATATATAAGAACCTAAGTTAAAGCCTTATTAAGCTTCAATCTATTAGATTATGAAAAGCGAATTAACTAAAAAAGGCTACTCTGATTTTAGGTATTTAGGACAGGGATCATCAGGATTAGTTTTGTTAGCAAAAGATTCGAAAACCAACATGAGGTATGCCATCAAAGGTGTTTAAGTTAGAGATCCTCACGGAAATTTTGACTAAGATATTTACATTCAAGTGAAACGAGAAATAGAAATACTCAAAACATGTAGAGACTCTCCTTACGTAATCAGTCTTTTAGATTAATTTGAGGGATAACAATTTAGTTACTTAGTTCTAACTGAGTGTTAAGGTAAAAATAATAATAAATTAATTAATTAACTAATCAATTAATCAAACCCCTTAACTTCAAGTTTTTAATGTGAACTTAAATGCTATCAATAAATAAATAAAAAGGAACTCTCACCTAAATTATAGAAAGGAACAAAAACAAAAGACTGAATGAAATATCAGCAATCAAATACGCTAGTGATATTGCTCAAGGTCTCTACTACATTCACTCTAAGAGTTGCCTTTTAAATGATCTGAAAGCGGATAATATCTTAATTGACTATCATGGAAATGCAGTTCTTTGTAAATTTTTAGAAAATCTTGATTGATTTTCTATAAAAGTATATTAAATAGGTGATTTTGGTACAGCAGATAACCAAATAAACATATCTGGCTATTCTATCAATCAATATGTATGCACTCATATTTTTATCATATTAAAGAGACATTCAAATAATTCAATTCAAAAAATTAAAGATGGGAAACATCTTGTATCAAGCACCAGAGAGCTTAGACCCAGCTGAACCATTCATAGGTAAGGTTTATCATGATGAATATTTAAAATTAGGTGTTAGTGTGAGACAAGAGCCAAGCTAGAGAGTAAATATTTTATTTAAATTATTTCTTAATTAATATGATTTATTAATTAATTTAAATAGAGTGAAGCATTTTCTTTAGGTATTCAATAAAATGAAAAATAAATATATTATTTGTTTTTATTTAACAAAAATAAATTATTAAAAAGGATATCTAATATATACACTTGTCTAGGGAATAGATTTTAATTTAATATCAAATAAGCACAAACCATTAAATTATGATGCTGAATTTAAAAATTTTGTTTATCACAAATAACTTAAATATATTATTGATGGATTAACTAATTTTGTTCCAAAAAATAGAATGACTATTAAGGAGGCTTTAATTATTTTAAAAGGAATTATTTCTATTGAATTTTAGTTAGATGACATGCTTATTGAGACGATAGATGGAAACACTCAGCAGTTTGCAAGTTCACTCAAAAATGAAATTGAGTTTGTTAAAGATTTGTCAAATAAGTTTTACCCTATCATGTATATATATTGCTATTATCAAATAATTATTTCTCTAGTAGGAAATATAAATTTATTTGTAGAATAACAAATATTATTTTTTAAATTTAAAGAAAACTTAAAAGAAATAAAAAAGAGGTATCTATCGAGATAAATAGGTTTCTAACCTATAAAAACAAAAAAAATTAATAAAAAATGTTTAATCAAAATTTAGTTTTTTAATGAAAAAATCCAATTTTTTAATCAAACATTTAATTTTTAGAGTTAATCATTTTTTTCATTCATTTTATATGTAAAAAAAAAATAATTCAAGATTAAATGTTTGAGAAAAAAAATATTTATATTTCTTCATCAAAAAACAAATTAAATCTTTTATTAAACATTTTTTACTTATTTTTTTGTTTGTTCAGGTTCGAAACCTATTTATTTCGATAGATAGATACCTCTTTTTTTTTATTTCTTTTAAGTTTTTTTAATTTTATTAAATAATATTTATTTATTAAGAGTTCTACTAAATAAATCTATATTTCTTATTCGAGTATAAAAATATTTGTTTGTTTGTTAGTTAGTTTATTCTATCTAATCTACCTCTTTTGTTAAATTTTTTAAAGTAAAAACTAGCAGACGTTATAGTAAGAGTTAAAAGAAGACCATCAAAAAAGATAATATGTTAATTGAAATATTTTATTCAAAATGTCATCAATTTATTCATTCAAAATAAATTATAAAAAGGAGGCAAAAATATAAGAATTTTTGAAAATAAATCTCTAACTATAATAAAGAATTAATGAATAAGAAAAAACAATTAAAGATTTATTAAGCCAATTGAATTAATTTTAGAATTAGTTTATGAATGAAAATTAGATTATGATGATGCCAACAATGAAAACGAATAACAAGTAACATTTTTATTTTTAAGAAATTAAAAAATAGGAAAAGAAAGATGAATTGCTAAAAGAAAAAAACTAATTTTAAATTCAAAAAATAAGTTTTTAATAGAAACCAATAAAATTATTATGAAAAAGAAAATATACGCTTTTCATCAGTTTGTTTATTAAGATAAATTAATTAATTTTAATATTATAAAAAATAGCATGTAATTAATTTCTTTTGAAAATGATGAATTAACTAAGCAAAAATAATTAACTAAAAAAACAAACTGACTGCTAATAATTTATTTAAATTTATTTGAAAAACCTTAAAAATTAATCTATCTTCCATTTAAAAACTCCTAGAAAGTAAATTAATTCCTTCGATTACTTACTAGATTATTAATTTAATCTCATATTTCAATAGCAAGTATATTTATAATTAATTAATTAATTAATTAATTAATTATTCTTCACTTTTTTAAAATTATCTTAACCTATTGTATTTAGAGCACAAAGAAAGATGTAATTTTATTCAGTCAATTTTAACATATCCAAAATTTTTTTATTTAAAAGAAAGTAAATAAATAAATAAATAACTTTGAAAATCATGATCAAATATTCATAATCATATTCTTTTAGAGGGTTAGATTTTTATCTATTGCTTTTACTTAATTCCTTTCTTTCTCTAATATAGATTGTAATCACTCGTCCTTTCCTTAAAAATACTATATTTACTTATATATTCAAAATAGCATGTAAAGTTTTTATCACAAAATGCTGAATTAACTTTCATTTTCAAAATAGCGAGTAATTAATTAATATTTTAGAATGATTTTTTGTGAGAAAATGAATGCTGAATAAATTAACTTTCATATTCAAAATAGGATGTAATTAATTTTTTAGAATTGTTTTTCGATTATATACAAGATATTTACATAATCTTAAGATATCTTTTATTGAGTGATAGTTGTATTTGATATTGTAGAATGAATGAATATTCTTTATTTTAAGTTTTTATAATCTAATATTTATTTTAAATATTTTAGATAAAAAAATTAATTTAAAAAAATTGTAAATATTGTAAAAAAAAATATAGATAGATATTCATCCATTTGATTCTTGAAAAAAGTAAATATAAAAATTCAAAGATTTTATTTAGATTCTGATAAAAAATAAATATTCAAAATAGAATCTAGAATTTTATTTTATTTAAAAATTTTCGATAAATGAATTTTAATAAATTAATAATTATAATGAAATCATTTTTTTATCTACTTATAATTTTATTATCTTCTAACTTAAAGAAAAATGTTTAAAGATAAAATTACTATCACACACAACAAAAAAATATTTAAAAAATAAAAGTAATTTCAATTAAATATTAAGATTTCTTAGTATTATTTATTTACTCAAATTTAAGATATTTTAATATTATGCTATTTCTTTCTTGTATATAATATTATTTTTAACCAGAAAATAAATGCTGAATTAATTAATTAATTAACTTTAATATTCAAAATAGCTAGTAATTAATATTTTAGAATTATTTTTGATGAAAAAATAAATAAATGCTGAGTTAACTAACTTCCATATTCAAAATAGCATGTAATTATCTAATATTTTAGAAAGATTTTTGATGAGAAAATAAATGCTGAAATATATTTCATATTCAAAATAGCGAGTAATTAATTAATTAATATTTAAATTCATTTTTAATGAGAAAAAAAATAAATGAAGAATTAACTTTTATATTAAAAATAGAGTGTAAAATATATATTTGGAAGAGGCGAATAAGTTATATTTATTATTGGAAAATAGATAGTAATAAATATTTTAAAGAGTCACTTATAAATATTTTCTAAATAATCAATTAGGGAGTAATCTATATTATTTGATTCTTTTATTTTTTAGAAAATGCTGATTTAAATTATATAGTATTAAAAAGAGGAAGTAATAATTTTAGTCAAATAAATAATTGTTGATGAGTTAGTTATTTTTAAATTTTGAATAGGATGTAATATAATATTTGTGATTTGTTAATAAATGAGTTTATTATATGAATTAGTGGGTATGAATTTATTTATAATTTTTTTAATTATTGTATGATTAATATTTAAAAATAGATAGTAAATATTATTTTGATTTTAAAATACCGAATAAATAGATCAATCAATAATCGTTTTAAATAGCATGTAAATATTATCTTTCTTTGATTAAAAATAATCATAAAATAATTATTTTTAATTTAAAAAAGCAAGTAAATATTAGATACTAGTTAAAATAAATAAGATTAATTGCATTAAATAAATAATTAAAATAGACAGTATA